TCTTCGGCAGGGGCGGTGGCAGGGGCGGCAGCAGCAGCGTTGGCAGGGGCAGCAGCAGCGTCATTATCTCATTACTTACAGCTTAATATTTCTAATGCCTTATGTGACAAAGTTTCTGTCAGTCATATGTCCATTGTCCTTGACCTCATTTTCTTGGTCCAGCAACTACTTGGAAAAAAAACTGTATGGTTTTTGTAATGTGATTTTCTCAATTATTATGAGTAAAATGATAACTTTATTTGGCATGTGCGTACCTTGCATGGTTCACATATCTGTCAGACATATTTCATTTGACCTTGACATCATTTAATGGATCAGTGAACAAGATTTAGTTTTCATGATAAAGTCCATATCTCAAATTCTATCACCAATAGGTCTTCTATATTTGGTGTATAGAATGATTGTAAGGTTCACATTTCCAACTGGCAGATAAATGATAAGTTCATAAAATTTTCTGTATGGAATGAATGTTATGTGTATATGTCTGTCTGACAGGTGTCATCTTACCTTGACCTCATTTTATGGTTCATTGGTCAAAGTTCAGTTTCCTCAATGAGGTTTGTTTCTAAGATACTTTAGGCAATATATGTTAAATAAATTTGGTGTATGGAATGATTGTACGGCCTACATGTTTGTCTGATAGGGTTTATCTCACCTTGACTTCATGTTCATTCATCATTAAAATGTTAATTTAATGTAAAGCTTATATAAACTTATTTTTTTTACTTTCAACATAAATTCAATTATGAACACTAAAACAGGCGAGACATTTAAGTGTGTCCACCCTTGTTATGTCATTATCCTAGATTTAGTACAAGGTCATCACCTGACATGACCCGGTCATCCTATCAACACAGATGTTGGTTCTGATAATTTTAGCAACATAATTAGTCCCTGGATCATTAGTATTCTATATTTAAAGCTACAATAAAATTAAATCACTTAGTCTAGTGATTAATTTGTACTACTTAAATTGGTGATTATTAAAGAAAGACAACTCTTACTTCCAACCTTTATGGACATAATGTTACTTGAATCAGTGATTTAGAAAATCACTCATTTAAGTAAGTCCCCTGACTGGCTAGGATTTAAATTAAATCTTAAGAAATGATTCTCTGTGTCAAAATTATTGGTTGCCCAGGCCATGCACCATTTACAAAACTGTCCACCAAAATATTTTAACAAAACACATATTTATCAAGAACACATCCTGAATTAATTGCCGGTGTCAAAATTTATAAAAATTGACAAACCTATGAACATGATGAACATTTGCTTTGCGTTAGTCTCTTTGCAGCACATACATACAATGTATGCAAGTGCAAGTGGGGCCCTTGCTAACATGTCAGTTCTCTAGTTTTTTACAATTATTTGTTTGCATTGATAGAAAATTGCCCTTGTTTGCTTTATGTCCAGTAGCAAATAGTTTGCATTAAACAATGTTGAATATAACATGTATCTACAGTAGAGTTTAATGACCTATTCATCTTTAATGAAGCTTTGCCACTGGAAGTTAAGCAATCAATAATCAATCAATCATTTAATAAAGCTTGTGAAAATCAGTTCAATATCTGTCCTGACAAAATACCAATCAACCTTGGAATTTAAGGGTACTACAGTCAGGGATATAACTCTATAGGGTTATTAGAGAAAATATCTTTCATGTGTTATTACAGATACTTTTACAAGTTGTCTACTCTTTATTCCTTAAATTTTCTAAATCTGTAGTAACATATGTTTGTTATTTGTTAAATAATCATAAATATTTTAATTTTTAGTGGGCACTTGGGAATTCATGAAACTTTGCGCAGAAACTATAAATACATAGCCTTGATAACTAATTTTCGAATTAAACATGTTAAATTAATACATTTTTCATCAACCATGGTAAATCAATGGGACAAGGCTTTTAAGAGATAAACTTAGTTGTAATAACAAGGCTTAGTTATTAAAGGCATGTAACTTATTTTATGAGACACTTAAGCTTGGGAATTTCTGGGAAGCTTGCACAGAACCTCATTACATGCTCTGATCATTATTTCTTACAAATTGTGATTAAATATGATGTATGTCTGAGAAAAGGCTTTAAAGTGATGTAGAGAAGCTGTAATAACACCCTTTAGTTATTACAGGCATATTTTTTCTGTAATAACATAGGTGTACTATGATTGATTGGCAAACAATGAACTGTTATATCTTTCTATAGTTTAGTTTACATAAAGACAATAAAAATATCAATAGAACTTGTATACATTCTAACAAAACAAATGATGAATATTGGCCCTTTGAAACATGTAACATACATATGTTATCACGTGCACAGTTCTTTGATTTTTAGTCCACAATAACAAATGTATGTTATTTTTCTCTAATAACCCTATAGAGTTATATCCTTGACTGTACTAGGCATGCTAGATGCACAATTTTCTGTATTAAAAAAATCTGGTAAGGAGTTTCCTATTTTAATTTGCCCACTGCTTGTGGCAAGTTTGTATACCCAATTTGACATAATGTTGAAGAAAAATAAGTCTGCAATTTACATGATTTAAGAAATAATGTTTGCACATTTTCATTCCCATAATCACTAACTTTCTGTTTACCACATTTACTGACATGACTGAGTACTTGTATATATATATTGAAAATTTTCATACATGACCATGTACATGATGTACAAAAAATGTATTCATGAGGGTCTGGATGTGGTTTACAAAAGGCCAATATTATAGAAAAATGGGTAAAAAATGTAAAGAATAGAGAAAAACAGGCCAAGAACACAAAGAAGAGAGAATAATGGGATGTTTAAATATAAAGAATGGAGAAAAATTACATAAAAAATTAATGAACGGAGAAAAATGACCTAAAAAATTAATGAACGGTGAAAAATGACCTAAGAAATTAAGTTTTTCAGAAATAAAGGACCCCATCCAGACCCTCATACTAGTATATGAAATCTTTCGTCACATTTGTCTCAGGAACTACGAATTAGAGCTTCCTAAAATTTAATATGAAGCTTTGTGATAGATTGTTGCTCATTTTTTGTCGAGCCTGCGACTCTTGTCGCAGAAAGCTCGACATAGGGATAGTGATCCGGCGGCCGCAGCGGCGGCGTTAGCTAACTTCTTAAAAGCTTTATATTTTAGAAGCTAGAAGACCTGGATGTTTCATACTTTGTATATAGATGCCTTATGTTACCAAGTTTCCGTCTGTCATATGTCCATTGTCCTTGACCTCATTTTCATGGTTCAGTGACTACTTGAAAAAAAAAGTCAACATTTTTTGTAATGTTAATTTCTTTCTTTTTAAGAGTAATAGAATAACTATATTTAGTATGTGCGTACCTTGCAAGGTCCTCATGCCCGTCAGACAATTTTCATTTGACCTCTACCTCATTTCATGGATCAGTGAACAAGGTTAAGTTTTCGTGGTCAAGTCCATATATCAGCTACTATAAGCAGTACAATGTAGGTCTACTATATTTGGTATATGGAATGATTGTAAGGTGTACATGTCCAACTGGTAGGTGTCATCTGACCTTAGGCAGTGATCGGGAAGGACGTGCGCCTTGCGCCAATTGCGCTTATCGACCAGAAATGGCGCATAGAGTGACAATTGTAAGCGCCCGCGTGGCGCATGATATTTTTCACTTCGTTTTGAAACGTTGAGATATCGTCAAATGGATTTCCGATAGTATTTCGTGCCGCCATGTGTCAGTACACAACTGTGTAGTGTTTACTCCAATGATAGGAGCACCTATATATTTTTGGGACGTCTCGGGCGTTTTCCTATGGTAATAATAGCAACATGCGGTATGACTGATTACCCCAAAAACGTAATTAACCATCATTCATGATATAATTTTTTATAAACAACTTTAAATTTGTGAAAATTGGCTAGTACAGGCGAGAATTCTTCTCTTATTATAATCTTTTAAGTAAGCTTACTATTATTTCGATTGAAAAACCCAAAAGCCTTTTTATGAATAGCATATTATTTGTCTCCATAAAAGGGGCTTAACTGTCCTTGTCTTTTTTTTTTTGGTCTTTGGCTCGTTTTGACATTTTGTAAACATGCCTTCTGCGAATTGTTGTTGTGTCTTATCAATTAACGTTGCTCTCTGCTGTTATTCTTGTCATCGTGATGAAGTAATAATAATACAAGTGCAGAGGAAATGCCAGAAACTTCCTCTAATACGGAACGTCTGGAATAAGTATGGTATCGACGTAGACCCAAATTTAATGTAAAAAAAAAAACATGAACATGAACAAGGGAACAGTACCAGTTTTAACATTGTAAATAAAGGTTATCGTAAATATTGCCCGGTTTGGAAGAAGTTATTGTATTTTCATTGAAATTGAAATTACAAAATCACAGGAACAATATTCTTGATATTAATTAGAATCATACTTGTAAGTACAGTGAAATATACCCTTTTTTATGTTTTGTTTTTATTGTAAACGAATGGCCCACTCATTTGACAACATGGCCCATTAATTCTAAAAATGGCCCATTGAATTTATTTTTGGGGGGTCCTGGGCCCATAGAGAAAAAATCCTTCCAGATCACTGGTGACCTTTACCTCATTTTCATGGTTCAGTGGTCAAAGTTAAGTTTTTGAGTTTTGGTCTTTTTTTCTAATACTATATGCAATAGGTCAACTATAAATGGTGTATGGAAATATTTTATGATGTACATGTCAGTCTCACAGGTTTTATTTGACCTTGACCTCATTTTCACGGTTCATTTCTCAGTGTTAAGTTTTTGTGTTTTGGTCTGTTATTCTTCAACTATAAGCAATAGATCAACTATATTCCTTATTTATTGATATCTATAATTGAAATATTAACATCAATAAATCTGAATAATTTATGAACATTTAATAAATTGTATAACTTGGTAGGATTCCAACTTCTCAGAAGTTGTCAGAATTTTTGTTAATAGCATAAAATGACCACTTTACACAGATAACTCAAATGGTATACTTTTCATTTCAGATTTGAATAACAGTTAAAGATAGCTTGCAAGTACAGAGGCTTAATCATGGTAGAGAAAAAATCGTCGATTGGTAAAGTCTGCTCTGTTATCATCCTATACTGGGGAGTATCGATTTCAATGGTTTTTGTAAACAAGCATATTCTCAGTGGATCATTTGGCGACAACGATGTGTCCATATTTGTTGCCTGGTACCAGTGTTTCTCAGCAGTGATAGGGATACAGTTATGTGGCTTTATTTCTAGAAGAACGAAAATTCCTGTGAAAATTCCGAAAATTGAATGGAATTTGTTACTGAAGAAAGACTTCCTTAGATTCTCATTTGCATTTGTTGCAAGCTTGACCATGAATAATTTGATGTTGAAACATATAGGCGTTGCATTTTATCAAGTAGCGCGATCATGGACTTTAATATTTACAATTTTATTTTCTCAATGTCTCCTTAAGAAGGATATAACTTATAAAGCTATCATAGCCTGTTTAATTGTAACGTGTGGATTCTTCATAGGAATAGACCAAGAAGATGCTTCCGGCACTCTGAGTGTCTGGGGTATAATTTACGGAATTTTTGCCAGTCTCGCTACAGCTTTAGGTGGAATTTTTATTAAACGGGTACAACCCATAGTTGAAGGTGATAGTTTTAAACAAGCATACTACAACAATATAAATGGCGTCATTATATTCTTCCCGCTAGTCTTTAGTACGGGACAATTGCAACAAATTTTGTATTCAGAATTCATTTTTCATCCGTCATTTTGGATATGCATGACAATATCTGGTGTTCTTAGTTTATCTATAGGCTGGGTGAGTGTTCTCCAGATAAAACACACTTCACCAATCACCCACCATGTGAGTAACACTGCCAAGTCTGTGTTGATGACAGTATTAGCTATAATGTACTATAATGAAGAGAAAACTATGCTGTGGTGGGGTGGAAATTTTCTAGTTATATTTGGTGTGATGTTTTATACATACAGTAGAATGAATGAGAAGATGGATCAAGAGTTACCTGACTTGACTATTGAGCCAGAAAACAAACACAATCATAATGTTTAATTTTATTTCCATTTTATCTGTACTTTGAATGATTTTATGCCGGAACAAACAAAAAAAGCTTAAGTGCCATAAAGTTGCATTTTTCTTCTTTAGTAAAGGAAAATTTCCATAATCATGTACTTTAACCAAGCTTATTTTTAATTAGCGATTTATTAAGGCAAATTCTCCTAAAGAAAAATTATCAAAAATCGTCAAACTGGAATCTTTTTTTTTAATGGAAAACATCAACAAAGTTTGTAAATAATCACAAATGTCCAAAAACCTTCCAGAAAGGGTTGAACATAAAAAAAGCATTTATGAAAATAGAAAAATAAGATGTGGTATGAATGCCAATGAGATAACTCTCAAGCAGAGACAAAATGACATAGAATATTTACAATTACAAGTCACCATACAGCCCTCAACTTTGTGCAAAACCCATACTGCATAGCAAGCTTTAAAAGGCCCTTAATAAAAATGACATATGTAAAACAATTCAAACATGAAAACTAATGACCTGATTTATGTCCAAAACAATAAAAAAAAAAATGATTTACATGTACAGCAACAAAAGACAACCACTGAATGAAAGGCTCCTGACTTTGGACAGGTTGGTTCACAGAATCAAAAACCTTAGGGTGCTTTGACAAATGTGTTGTCACATCGATATAAAATTTGTTTACATTATAAAATTTGTTTAAGTGCAATTTTCACTAATAAGTAAAATTTTCACAAAAATGTATGTCCTAGGAAGTGGTTTTGTACATATATACATGTAATTACAACAGTTTTTTTTTCTTTTTGAAAATGTTGAACAAAGGCATTCAGAGGGTCTAGTCTATCATGTCTATATACTGAGGCATGTGTGCACACTGTTGAGCAGCAGCTTGCCAATTATTGTAAAAATCACTGCAAAATATATAAATTACTGTCTCTTATTAAACATGTTAAAATAATCTGTCTAAATTTTAGGTATGTTTACATTTTTGTACAGAACATAAATAGTAATTTAATTATTACAATGTATACAAGAATTTACATATATTTTTTTAATGCAAGTTTCTATCACTCCCATGATCAACATTTAAATATACAATTGTCAGTTTTATTGTTAGTATTTTATGATCATGTCATAACCATTTAATGTAAATATGTTTGTGGAATTAAATATTGTGTATTGTCTATTGTATACCTCAAAAAGTTTGGGGTATTTCAAAATGCTACATGTACATATATCTTGACCAAGTCTGCCTATATTTAAATATTTAAATGTTATTTATTGCAACCTTTTACTTTGAATTCAAAAATCATTGCCAAAATTTAGTTTTAGGGTTGTTCAACAATGAACAAAAATTTGAGTTCAATTTTGAGATTTCAGGAAATGCAGCATACCAATAATAATCATGATAATATCAAAATGTAAAATGCAAGTATCTTGACACAATTTTTGTTATGATAAAAATATTGCAAAAAATTCTGAATTTACAGTATTTGAAACTATGACAATCATTTTGAAAAATGTAAATGTCACAAAATCCTTCACGCACTATTGAAAGCATATAAAGAAACTGCTTTCTATTCTGTTCTTCATCTCAAATTTACTGTGAATCATTCAACATTACCATGATTACCGACAAAAGAAAACTACATTGTGATATTTTTGCTTCTTGATGAATTTTGTGTGATGTAGATGAAAAAGCTAGTATATTATGTGGAATTGGCCACAGTGGTGCATTAAATCAATGTCAGATAAGCATGATAGATAGATAGATTATTTATGAGGTCTATTTTATCTTTAATTTATTTCTACAGGTCTACACATTCAAGTATTTAAAAGTGTTATGTATAATGTCAGTTTAACTATAACGTAAGGTTAGAGTTCCAAAGGTCACCTAGAGTAGTCAAATCACCCAAATATGCCAAAAGCAGGAACTGTATGGACATAAAAACATGAAAAAAGATTTCATTTAAGCTTCAGTGTATGCCAAGTCAGGTGAATTTTGTAATATTTATAGAAAATAAGAAATGAAAAAAAAACATTAAAAGGATAACAATAATCATTGAATAATAAATGATAGTAAAAGTAAACACTAACACCTAACTGACCCATGGTTTGATGGTGCATTTCGTTTCAAGTGAATATTTCAAAAAATTCTGTTCATCATTTTTATGAAGGAACATGGCCTTATTATAACTTAACTGAATAACAAAGCATTTAGGATGTGTATGTACATGGTTTACATGTTGTATTGTTTTTTCAAAAGACTTTGGAAACCTAAGTTCTGTTCCCCTAAAAAAACTCCTCTATAATATTATCATGTGTGATTATAAAAGTATGAAGATTGTATTTGTTAATTATTACATGTATAAATTTTTATGTTATGAATAAATATTTATTTTTCTGTTTTTTAAATACTTTTTGTTATTATAGAGTTTTATTCTGTTGTGTGTTACCTCAAGCCATCATTACTTATATTCCATATACAAATGTACATCAACTTTTGTTATGATGAGTTTTTTTTAAAATAAATTTCCATTACCATTCTGGAAACAGTCTAAAACTGTTTATTTGTTTATAGTGAACTATCTGAACTGAAACCAACATATTTTTAGGACTTAAATGAATCGGAAAAATCCACCAGAAATTGAACAATAAAGGAAGGATCGACGAAAATTAGTTTGTTTACAGTGTTGTAACAGAATATAACATTAATATTCTTTTATTTATGTAACCTGTTTATACAGAACACTTCAAAAATGGGAACATAACCTTCAGAATCAAAGCAGTTCATTTGAGACAGATTTCACCATATACTCCTCATTATCATACTCCATCTTACTGATTTTGAGGAATATTGCAATCATTGTATTTGATTATCATTCATCTGTATACTTCTCTTTAATCCTCAACTCTAAATCTTTCACCAGTGAAAGGGTTTTTAATAAAACTTTAACAAAATCGTTTGTACCTAGTCACAAGAGGAGAACAGGTACCCGTTTTCAATTCTAAAATAATCTAGATAGTTATTCTAAAAGAAATTACTGGAAAGAGCTGTTTGCAATAAAAAAAATACTGTAAATCCAGCAAATTTATGATTTATTCTATTGATTTAAGTTTTATCTATACAATGATCAAGTTGCCCCTTTTCAGACAAGAAACTGCATAAGCTTGCCCTTTGTTTTTAAAAAAGCATATTTTTTTATTATCAAAATAATATATTTGGATATAAAAAGCAAAACATGGTCTTTGCCGTAACTTTACAAATGAGGTAGCAAGGGTATTAATTTGTGAGCTTGGCTCACAGTTATTTTGTGATATTTATGTCTCATATAAAAATAAGAAGATGTCACGTGGTATGATTGCCAATCAGACAACCTTCACCAGAGACAAAATGACATAGAATTTTACAATGATAGGTCACCGTATGGCCTTTAACAATGAGCAAAACCATATATCCTTGGTATATTCTTTAGTTTTACTTAATTACTATAGATATATAAATTTGCTCATTGTTTTTGGAATTTTGAAATAATTTTATACAATGAAACTCTTGACCCTTTTTATCTTCCTTTTGATTTGATATATCACTGCTCAATAGTTTACTCTCAAGGAAATGGAAAACATTTCTTCTTTTCAATTTACTAACAAATTTATGGAGAAAAATTACTTTTCAAAATTAAAGGTACATGTATTTTGGCCTTTTTTTACAAGAATGTTTCCAGAGGAAATTATGTTAGAAGGAACAAATATATATATATATATGTTAACAAGTGCGAAATGACAATAAAAATCCAAGTCACTAATGTTTCTCATATCAAACGGTCATGGCTGTTTTTTATCCTCAAAGCTGGTAATTTCTTTCTTCCAGTAATAGTATAAGTGGTTTATTTTTGTTCACACGATTAACACAGGTCTTGTGTGAATATCAACCACCCAATTCCTGGACACATCTCGAAGTATTGCAAATGTTCCCAAGCATGCATCATTTTAATTGTCCTACAATTTTTCAGGCATTTGGAAAATTTTCCATTTCCATTGTAATCAAGTCTGTTATTACATGCAGTAGTGCATGTTCTTTTGTCCCTGTAAGTTACTCCTGTTTTTTGGTTCTTTTGTCCTCCAAAAGTTTATCTAACGGCTTCCTCAATTTCCGAAAGAAACAAAAATCCAATTCAAATGTTTAAGGAACTTACTGAAGATCACGTTTAAAGTTTTTGACAATTAGGTTTGAGGCTCAAATGGGACTAGATGCGTTTGACTCCAATCTTAATTGACTAGAACTTCTTTTTCTTGTAGAACAGTGGTTCTCTCTAGGTACACCAGTTTCCTCTTCCGATTTAAAAATTCTCAGCGTTATAAGTACATAATGTCTGTTGGCACAAACAAAGTGGATTTGAGTTACTTACCATTGGTTGTTATTGAGAACAATATTTTAGATATTGAAATACAACAAATATAAATTAAATTGTTAAATATTCTTATATGGTCTTCGTAAATTGCTTGATAGAAATTCAAGTTGCATTCTGATTAAAATACAGGTCCTGTGTCAACGCTTTCCTAATACGGATACTGTACTGGTAAATATCATGATTATCACACCAGCCAATGCAAATTGTGCCTACACATTTTTGAAGGTGTATTTTGGCAGGGCACCAGCATCTTATCCAAAAAAAAAACTTCCACTATAGCCTTGCTTTCATTATTCTGCAAAAAAACCAAAGAGAAATACTTCTTTTTTTAAATCATGAAGTAAAATAACAAAAATAGTGATCTCCGAGGAAAATTGCATTTTCATAACGTTCTTTGTTGTCTATGGTAATTAGTTGTATCACAGACAAATATAATGGATATTCTTATTTTACATTGGAGCGGTTATCATGTACAGAGATAGAAATTATCTCCACCTTTCTTGATCCAACTGGAATCCAGCTTTCACGAAAAGTTGACATAGAAAAGAGTAGAAAGCAGATAAAAATATCACTGTAATGGTTAAAGATTATGTAGAAAAAAAGTAATGAAAATTTGGCCTTATGAAACTTATTGCTTTTTGTTATATATCCTTCCAAATAAGCGTGTTTGATTAAATCTCCATATAAAGACTTGCAGTGAATGGGTATTTAAATAAACCCGACAGCAAAAGAAATGCATTCCCGTTGATTTTTTTATATCCTTCATTGTTGCAGAAAGACAGACGTTTTAAGCCTGGTTCAAGAAATCTGTAGTTTTAAAAAATCCCTGATTGGGGAAAACCACTTTAACATATCATGTTTTGTAATCAAAATAGTTTGCAAGATTGTGCCCTGCACATGCCAAACCATAATCTCAGGAATAACCTTACTGTTTAAATATGCAACTATTGTGGAAAATCAAGAATTAGTTTTTAGTGCAAAAAATATTTTATTATCATAAGAAAAAATGTATAACATTGTGTGTGTATTCAAGATAAAATCTTTTAAAAAATCCTTTCCCACACTGTTTATATATATCCAGCCTTTTTGTACATAAATTAGGCCGTTAGTTTTCTCGTTTAAATTGTTTTACATTGTCATTTCGGGGCCTTTTATAGCTGACTGTGCAGTATGGGCTTTGCTCATTGTTAAAGACCGTACGGTGACCTATAGTTGTTAATCTCTGTGTGATTTGGTCTCTTGTGGAGAGTTGTCTAATTGGCAATCATACCACATCTTCTTTTTTATATTAACCACTTTTACCAATATCAATTCGCCGTGGACCTCTTTTTTAAAGTCATTGTTAGGTGTACATATATATAATTGTTCTTCCAAAAATTACAAAGCATATGGTGAAATACCTGTCATATCATATATCCATATATGTAACATGATAAAGAAATAAATTCATACACATGCAACAGTATACATCACATCAAATCAGGTTACAAAATTCTCCTCATAGCATGTTAAACTGCAAGTATCATAATCTGATTAGAAAAAGGTTGTAGGTAATTAGACAATTGATGTGAAGTCAGGCTATTCATCAACCATATCTGTAAACAGAAATTAATTCAAACAATTTATAAAGATTTCCATGAAATCCTGTGTCTCGCCTGCAATTGTTGATGCCAGTGTAAACAAGGATATTTTTGCCCTGCTTTACTAATAAAACAAAAGTTCTCTTGGTCCCAAATTTGTTATTCGTTTGGACATTTTAGTTTGTCACGTATTTCTTAATTAAATTTTTCACCACCATCAATTTAACTCTTCGTTATAAAAGTATGATTGTAAAATCAAAGTACATGTAAATAATCAAAACATAATTTTGACGGACGAATGAATGAGTATAGCTAACACAAAGCAAAGATTTCTTTAATTTAGTGTTAGTGAAGCATGTAAAGAATTAGGTAATTTGATGCGTACGACGTAAGAATGTCCCCTACCTAACTAAGGAAATTCTTATTGAAATCTCAGTTTAAGGAACACTTGATTAATTAAGATGTCTTATGCATGCATATGGGCCTTGTTATATTATCATTTTGAGAAAAATGTATTGACATCAACCCTAGAACGCATTTAAACACAAACTTTCCTAAAGGTGGACAACTCTAATCTTCTTTTTGTTGATTTTTTTCAATACTTTTTAAAACCTGGTATGAAAGAAATTTACCTGAACAACAATATCACGTGATTGATACTCAAAATAGCAAAAGGGAAATTTCAAATAATGGCTCCTGTGGAATGTAAGCGTAGCTTAAGTAAAAAAAAAAACCATATTAGCTAGTTCAATTTAAAAGGTAGGTGACATTCCATTTTTTTTTTGATTTTTTTTATACTACACCAACAAATTGAATTTATTGAATTTAACACTGAACAAAAACAAATTATCCATTTGCAATTATTTTACTTTCACTTTAAATTTGTGTAGTTGCTATGGTAACATAATATACCTTATTGGATAGTTACAAAGACTTTTGAAATGTTTAGCAACAATTTTTTCGCACTTTATCAGTTATTGTTATCATAATAGCCTTTAGTGTCAATGTATGTGCATCTCTCACATATTTGATATAATGCACTACTCAATCAGATTTTTGAATTTTATTTAGTTAATGTGATGAAGTCATCCAGCTAGCTACCACATATTTGATTTTTACATGTACCAATCTATAATAAAATGCTTGTCAAATTAAAAAAAAAATTCTGGTTGAATTACATTAACGGTACCAAATTTTCTGCACCAGATGCGCATTTCGACAATAAATTTCTCTTCAGCGATGCTCGAGGCCAACATCCAAAGCTTAACTGAACAATACTAGTAGCAACAAGATTATGTGTTTATACATTTGCTATAGGATATAATGCACCACTCACATTATTACATTGTCAGGAAAAATTTGATTAAAACCCTTTTTGGCATTTGTATTAACATTCCAAATCATATGATATACATACTCTGTGCCTAGTTTCAAGTTGACGTTAATTTCAATGTAAATGAAAATATCATTTTATAATTTTCGTGTGTTCATGTGCTTTACTGGTTTAACTTTCATCAGATACAAGTAAACCTTAACATTACAAAGCTACCCATAACAAAACTGTGATCTGAAATGGAAAGATGGATACACAAATCATAAGGCAAATACAACTATGCCAATGTAGGTAGAGGTTAGTGAAAAAATGGCATTAGTATGCCATATAATGAATAGTACACTTTATAGATTTGTACGTCGGAAGTACTGGATCAGTTGCATATGAGTTGACTGAAAAGTGCATGGGTGAAAGACATATAAGATGAAATTTTTCACATCATCAGGATAACTTATTATTTTTATTTTATTTACAGGATGGATATAGAGGATCGTCGACGGTACTTTGTGGTAGGATCAGTCATTTTGGAGATTGTTCAACCGCTGTTCAGAACCAGATTAGAAAATGAATACTCTAGTAAAGGTCTAGGGTCATTACAAGCTTTTCTAAACACTCAACCAATAATACACATACTGTTTCACTTACGACACAGAAAAGCCTACTGCTGTAAGGACAACCTCAACTGTCGCAACAACTCAAAACTTCCACTGATTTACTGTCAGTGGGACTTGTTGTACACTGAGAATCCAGGCCAATCTGGCCACAACTGTCATTGCAAGTTCAAAGCAAACCCAGTCCAGCTTAATGAGCTTGATATAACCTTAGCAAGTTTAATTTTATTGAACTGCTGCCATCTTGTTCCATCTGAAGAAAACGCTATACGTGAATTACGTCGGTACAAGAATGATTATCTCAGCCACAACATCAATGGTAAAATAAATGAGACCGAATATAAAAGCCTGTGGACTGACCTGACTAATTTTGTCCTACAGCTAGATCCAAATAAACAAGTTGACCTTATCATGATAGAGAACAGACCTCTCGATGAAGGCCTGTGTAGCAGATACAGTATAGATCTATTGAATGTTCACAAGAAACTAAATGAGGTTAGAAATTTTCAAAGTTGAAAAATTCAATATTCAAACATTTTATCTAATCTGATTGAACAGATGCTGTGTCCAAATTTTTGATAAAAAATATCTGAAGACACTCTGTTCTAATATTTGTTTTAAAGACCTTTCAGAATTCTCTGGATTTGTCGTATTGATACACACTTTCATAAATTTGTAGGCTGACATTTCATTGGCTGAATTTATTTTTACTAGAACAGAAAGTAGAATGGTATGTTGTCAGATCCTTGTAAGTGATGCATGGGCAGATGATATGTATTTCAATCAAATTGACATTTTATCATGAACGCATAGAATTTAAATCATAAACATATATTATTATTATTATTATTATTATTATTATTATTGGCAGCTTTAGTAATCATTCTTGTAATTAGGCTTTTGATTATTTTGTATTATATTTCTACATCAAAATAGTTTGCATATTCCCTGCAGAAGACTGGAAGAAGTAAAATCACAAAAATACTGAACTCCGAGGAAAATTCAAAAAGAAATGTCCCCAATCAAATGGCAAAATAAAAACAACAAACACGTCAAACGAATGAATAACAACTGTCATATTCCTGACTTGGTACAGGCATTTTCTTATGTAGAAAATGGTGGATTGAACCTGGTTTTATAGCTAGCTAAACCTCTCACTTGTATGACAGTCGCATCAAATTCCATTATATTGACAACGATGCGTGAACAAAACAAACAGACACAATAGGTAAAAATGTCAAAAATAGGGGTTAACTAGTTTATTAAGTTGTTCTTTTAATAATATATTCCTCAAATGCATTCATCATTCTGTATGACTTTTGTCAACTTTTTTCTGGTTCTTTGTATATAGTTCTATTATGAAGAATTCAAAAGGGATAATTTTAATTTTCAAGAATAAAAGTATTACTCTTTATATTCTTTAAATATCAATTCATTGTGTCAGACTCTTACGTCTTTTGAAGACTCTGAAAAAAAATATTTTCAAGAGTTTAAATCAAAGTCATTTTTATTGGTTACCATATCCTGGACCATATAAACAACAAATATGAATGGAATTAATTATTATCCTAATGACTTCCAGACATAGAATATGCACACTGAAGACAGAGTATGTCAGTTACCTAGAGTCTGGAAATTTCTAGCTGTAGGTCAGTTCTTAACTTTTATGCCACAAAGAGTTTCTTTCAACCACAATAGAGTTATACACTATTTGAGAAAGTAGTATTAACTTTCTCATGGAAAGAAATATACACTGAAAAATGTATACATCGTAATGTACAACATTGAACGAAATGATGTTATCTGCTTCATTTTATTTCGAGTACTTAATAGATTTTAAAACATGCACTTTACAGATGGAAACCCGAATACAAGAAATTGGTTCTGCTGTGCAGGTAATTAAGTCTATCATTTTTTTTTATATTTCAATACATCTATTCAGTACAGTTATTTTTGGTGATTAAACAATTTCAGATTTTTAGCTTTATGAAATAAAATACCAAATATGACCACGATAATAAGCCACTCTTAGAAAGTAATGACCATAGCTAACCTGTAACTGCTGTGTTTTGAATATGGTTTATTACGGAATTGCTTTTGTATTTCTTAACTGTAAGTGCTATATAGACTTTTTTATTTTTTACTCATCCCCAGATAAATACATATAGTTTACATCAAAAGTAAAACGATGCAAAGCTGTATTTCACTAAATACAAATTATGTGGTATAAATATATTAGGGTTGAGGTCTCAAAAACATGATTAATCCTAGCCGTGTCTTATTAAGAAATAATTCATGGGGGCTTGCATTTATTGTGATTATACCACGGGTTGGCCCTTTATACAATTTATTTTACCACGAGCGATAGCGAGGGGTAAAATATAAGCATAAAGGGACAACCCGTGGTGAAATCAATATAAATTCAAGCCCCCATGAATTATTTCTATTCTAACAGGACAAAGACAGCAATTCTTTTGTTTCGAAGCGCTCTAGGTGAAGGGAAATGTTCGCTGTTCCCGTAATTAAACACATTATTAATATTGACGTAAAATACGAAGAAAACTGATTAAGTGAATACTTAAATGATCTACAATAACATACTAAGACAGGTTTGGACGAAATTGATTGATTTTCTTACTTTTATTCAAGAAAATGGGCTTTCATCGAATTTGTATCATTCGTTGTTTATGTTTTCATGTTTTGACGACTTTCAGTTTCAAATTCGTGCATTTTCCCGTAGAATAATTATATTATTACGTCATCGTTCAATGACGCCATTTACACCGTCTGATCTCAGGTAATTCATTCATAAAAAGCAAAAGACGCGGGAGTAAGATTGGAACAGCCCAAACAATCCATGACGTTGATGATTAGCTGACATATCAATATAATCATATTTTACCACGGGTATGTACTCAAAGCGTTTGAAGAACGTCATGTTAGGATTCTTGATATGATAGAATTCAGGAGCATGTTATTCGTGTTATTCAGTGGTTGTCGTTTGTTGCTGAGCATGATATATGTTGTTCATTTACTATTATAACATTAATCAAGCTGTTGGACTCTTATTTGAATTGTTTCACATTTTTCCATTTTGGGGCCTTTTAAAGCTTACTCCATTGTATGGGTCTTGCTCATTGTTGAAAGACGTACTATGACCAATAGCTGCACCCATGCATGTCTTTTGATCTCGGGTTAACAGTGACAATCATACCACATCTTCTTATTTTTATAGATTTATATTATTTACATGTAGTTAACTGAAGTTAAGATATCTCCACAAGACTTTTTAACATATGTCCAATATTTAAAACTCCTTTTCCATAGTAATATCAAACAACTCGAATTAAGTTTTTTCCTGATTCTTTATATTTACTTTTTTTCACAGGAAATATTGAGTTACCACAGAAATGAAGACATTTGTCAGTACTGCAAGAAGTTTATTGAACAAGGTCAGTCTGTTTACCGTAAATAATTTAAACATTCTTCAAAATTTGATGTTGCCCAAATTGTATTGTAAGATACTTCTCTTACCTAAATAAATCCAAATGATCTGAAAATTTTAACATAACATTGACATTTGAATACACTGTATAGCGAATACAATCAAACAATATAATCTCTTTATGACAATATTTATTCCTTTATTTCATAGGCATGAATGAAAGAACAATAAATCCCTACACACTTGGACAAGATATCTTTTATCTTCATCATCAGATTTATCTGAAGCCAGTACTTAATAAATACTCCTCTCTAGAAGGTGAAATTTTAGATGTAGTAATGATGGATGATGGTAGATTGGTGATGTGTTTGTACAACCTGTGCAGATTGCTCATTTGTAACACAGATGGATCAAAGGCAGTAACCATATCAGTCGATGGTAAACCCTATTGTGTTATCCCTGTCAATAACTCTACAGTGGCTGTAACAGTTATTAAAACTTGTGTACATCCATCTATAACGATATATGACATAAACAATGAATACAAACTTAATTCCATACCAGTACCTGGAATGACGATTACTTGTGGAATTGCAATGATAAATAACAAGTTAGTGATAGGTGCGGACAGGGTACTAGTGCTTGTTGATTATCAGACAGGAGAGATAGTAAAGTATATAGAAACACACTGCGTACTTACGGGGATTCATACTTCTGATGGAAGAATATTCTTTGGTCATTACAAGCAAAATATACTTTACTGGTACAGCTTTGCAAATGACAGTGTACACACTATAACATTACCATCAACACCACGGTCAATGACTACACTACAAGATGGTAGTCTATATGTTCTCTGTACAGATGGATCAGTACAACATGTATCAACCGATGTGAAACAGTTCAAAACTTTAAACATAAATCAATCCAAATTCTGCAATGAAATTCCCTTTATACGATACAATTCAAAACAGAAAAAAAGTGTCACATTAAGTGTAAAAACTGGAAATATCAAAATACTTTACGAAGTATAAAATGTGAAACTTGTAACGAATTTTTCAGAAATTCAGAATGAAATCGTTCGATGGGAACAGAAACAATGTTTTGAACAAAAGCATGTCAGCTGACAATCTCATAAAAAAACAATTTAATGAGATTATATAATTGGATATTTATGTGCTAATTTTATTAGTAGATTTTAAATAGCAATGTTTAAAAACTTATGTCAGATAAAGCTTATATAGATAAATAATAAGGTGTGGTATGATTGCCAATGAGACAACTCTCTTCCAAATATCAAATGACGTAGCAGTTAACAACTATTGGTCACCGTACGGCCTTCAACAATGAGAAAAACTCATAATGCATAGTTAGCTATAGAAGGCCCCGAAATAAGAAAAAATGTAAAACAATCCAATCGAGAAAACCGACGGCCTAATTAATGTTGGTTCATGTCTGTCATATTTGTTTTTCGTTAATTGTTTTGTTATAAATACAAAACAATAAACGAAAACAAATTTGATAAACAGCAACAAACGACAACCACTGAATTACAGGCACCTGACTTGGGACAGGTACATACAAAATGTGGCGGGATTAAATATGTTTGCTGGCGCCAAATCCACACCATAAACCGGGACAGTGGTGTAACAGTATGATGAGCTATCTAAAATTTACCAAGTTTTTACCAAAAGGTTCAGTCTAAACAAAATATCACAACTATATAGGTATTCACAACTGTTTATTTATATATAACAATTTCCTTTGAAATACTAAGACATTTCCATTAATATCTGACGCGGCTGTCATAACTTTTGGAAACAAAAGCTCTTTGGACCATAAACCAAGTTTTAATTACTAACAATATTGATATGCACAATCAGGTAGCTTTATATTGGGTCCCAATTGTTTTTCAAATGACTTTTGTCTTTTTTTTGGACTCCAAATTCGGGATCATTTTTCTTTCAAACTGTCATATTCATATCAGACCTATGTAGGACACGATAAAGAGAATTGTTGTAATGAATAACATGATATATCTTGTATAAAAAAATTTGACAATTATAAATTTAATGACTTCAAATTGCTAATTTTCCAGCGACCAATTATGCTACTTTTGATGTTTAGACAAGAAGTCTTAACTGGAGAGTTTCACTTCTGTTCAACGTTCATAAAATGTGTTAAAGGTTTGACAAAATTAGCTGTATTTGGCAAACTTTTCGGAATTTTGCGGTCTAAATGTTCGTCAACCGTCCTTTTTTATTTGGTCATTTTAATTTTTTTTTATTCCAACTTAACTAAATGATGAGTCTTAAGTAGACGAAACGCGCGTCTGGTGTATAAAATTTTAAGCCTGGTATCTATGATTAGTTTATTAATTAATGTTAACTGGGAACAAATCTAACTCCATCTACAGTCCTTGGATGGTGTAAACTTCCCACTTACACCATACACTATTACACCATACACCATTACACTATACACCCTGTGCAATTACACCATACACGTTATACCTTTGCACCATACACCTTACACATAACACAATAATGCAATTTTATTTCAAAGAAAGCGTGCGACTACAAAATTATTTATTTATTTTAAAAAACGAATTTTGATCAGATCACAATATGTAAATTAATGTATAAAATTAAAAATCAGTTCTTCTCAATATTTTGCATAGTTTTAAATGTCGCACACCATTCCCGATTGCTCGTTACACCATTACACCATTCCCCTTACACCATACACCATACACCATAGCACCATACACCTTCTACCGTTGCACAATATGCCATACACCATTACACCATACACTTTTTTGGGAAGTTTACACCATCCAATGGCTGTATCATAAAAAATATTGGGTAATTCTTAGGACATAAATTTGCAGCTTCAAAGCTACAATATGAAAATAAGGAGATGTGGTATGATTGCCATTGAGGCAACTATCCACCGCAGTTCAAATGAAGTGGGAGTAAGCAATTATAGGATGATTTCAGTGTTTCCCTTTTAACCTTTGCTACTCAGTTTTCTCATTTTGTTTTTTATTTTAGATATGTTTACTCTGACAACCGATTTTTTTATCTTTTTTTTTGTTCTATGTAAATTGCAGATAATTATAATGTTAATTTCATGTTTCAAAAACGCATATTTGTAAATAAATGGGGTGGAAATCATGTTGTGGTTTAAAACTTGATCAGTGACGGAAATGCAGTGACGTACCAATGCCTGATAATTTGTTTTGAATTTGTCTTATTTGTATATTACGGATATATTTCTGATTGAAACATTCATGCAACAGTAATGCATGCACAGTGTACTAATATTTGTGAATGTACAGTTTACTTATAGTTGTTGCAAGTTGCTTTGTTTGAATATTTTGCCAGATTTAAATCCATTAAATGCATACATCTATGTTATTTGCTAGTGCTTCTTTTAATAGAACTAGGTTGTTATTTGAGATCATCGATAATTAAGTATAATTTTGAAATGATTTGTAACTATGAAATGACACCACAAAAATAGCTTAAACTATAGAATAGTGATTAACGTCACCATATAGTGTAAACCAGTAAATTGTAATGAGTTTTGTAGACATAGTTTCTACAATCGCCAAGGAAAAAAATTCTGATGTACAAGTGATTTATCCCAGAAGTACAAGACCACAAGATTCCTGGATATATCTTATGATTGCAGATTTTCCCAGCATCCACCATTTTTTTCTCCTACAATACATGGTTAATTCAATCTTAGTGATTTGAAATATTCTCCTCTTCCATTGTTTTGGTTTTTTTTTCACCAAAGGTTTTTCTAGCTGCTTCATTAATTTCTGGAACAAAAAATAATTTTTAAGTTTTCATGAGGAGTTTATTCAAGGTTATGATTCAAGTACTCACCTGGTAACAAAAGTGGAAGTTGCAAAAATGATATAATTTATCTTGAGTCTTACTTGTACCTGAACATTTGATATAATTTTCAAATTCAATGGGTGAAAAATATCAACATTGTGACTACATTATTTTTGTTGGTACAACTAAGGTGTGTTTGACTTACTTCCCTTTGGTATTAATTGAAAATCCTATATCTAAGCTATTGTAGAACACACAAAAAAACCTTGACATTTTATGATCTTCAGACTTCTTATTTGGTCCCGATTGATTGCTCGAAAGACATTAAAGATTGGGTAGACAAACTAAAGTCGAAGATATTTTCAACTCATTTGAAAAAAACTTCTATATTTCATTGATTAAATCTTTATATTTTAAAGCAAATTTATGTTTTTGTCTGCTCTAGGAGAACTAAAGTGAGAAAAAAACAATTACCTTCACCAGTACAGCTGTTTCAGCAGGGCACCAGAATCTTACTCATTGTCGACTACCACTACATTCTTCGTGTCATCATTCTGTAATAAAACAAAGATATATATTTTGAATAAAATAATTGCATTTTCATTACGTGCACACGTATGATATGTCGAAGTGGTGATTTATTAATGAAGCAGGATGTACCAGTCAAAGACAATTAGTCCAACCCCAATATTTTCCAAAAAGGGCTGATTTTGAAGTATCTTCATGCAAGAAATAAATAACCAGTGCTTTCCAAATGGTAGTATTTACTCGTTGTCGAAGGCTACATGATAACCTGTAGTCATACAGATTTTTTTTTATTTCCGTCAAGTGTGTATTTAGTTAGATAGTTGTCTAGTTTACAATCATAATGCATATGCTAATTTTACACTAGTTATCAACAAACATTTAACTGTACAATGATAAAACTGAACTCAACCTTCCAAATGAGCCTACTTGAATTCATATTTCAAGAAAAGTTGCCATAAAAAAGGGTACAAAGTGGATAAATAATATCGCATATTGGTGACGAGTTCTGTAGACAAAAATATAAATTCTTGAAAAAATTTGTTGATTTGTAGTTTCTCTAATCTGATAAAACCGGTTTCTTTGGTTTTGTATGCCTCCAAAAACATGTGTTCGATTAAATGTTTATAGTAAACTTGATACGTATTTATGCAATCAGCACAACAAAAGAAATGCCATACTAGAAAGAAACATACTGCCATGGTAAACGTTTCGGAAATAAAAATTATGGACAGGTTATGTAAATTCCTATGAGTAATAATTGCGCCGCTTTTATATGGTATCTTTCGTCCCTCTTTTATAGATTAAGATATTTCAATCTTACTAGGATACCTCTATATTAAAGTTTACGACAAAAGGAACAATTTTTCATTCACTATTATTAATTTTTCTTTTTTGGACGGTAATGTTTCTTTTGCCTCATCTTAGAATGTTCATACTTGAACTTGATAGCTATACTAGTGCCTGTAGTTACATTATAGATATCAGATACGTTATATGTGTATCACTGGTAAATTATTAAGTCAAGGATTTTTTACCACACAATCTTAAAACCATTACTACATTCTTGAAAGATAAATAGATTTGGATCGGAAATGTTGTTGTATATGAGGAAAACCGATAACTATTGGCATATCACATCCTTATCCTTATGATCGCGTTGTATTTTTATAACCCTTTAAATGCGATACGATCCATGTAAGCGTATTAATTCTTCAAATCAACTTCTCGTAAGATATCAATTTACCATTGTAATTAGATTTTTGAAGATTGTTTTAATTGGTACTACCAATCATTGAATTTGTTATCAATAAATTAAAGCATTACTATATATGTATTGATTGTACATTAGGTCACGATTTTTTAGACTGTTTATTACGTCTTTACACTAAATCAATTGGATTGGTGCTGATTGATATTTTATCTTGGATACATGATTTTCTTTTACTAACTGTTATTGGCTTGGCACTAGCTTTTAGTAACTCTAAGTACTCTCAGATTTTTTTTTTTTTTTTGTATCGATCCTACAAGTCAAGTTTGGTTAAAACATGTTTAACCCCGCAACAATTTGTATATGTCTGTCCCAAGTCAGAAGCCTGTGATTCAGTGGTTGTCGCTTGTTGTTGCATATCATATTTGTTTTTCGGATGCCAACATGTGGTCTCTGGTGCATAGTTGTCTCTTAGGCAATTATACTACATCTCTTTATTTCATATTTGTAAAAGAAATCCAGGAAATTATATTTCTATAGAATTTAATTGCCAATCTGCATTAGAATCGGGCAGTGGTGATAACAATCAAAAACCCGCTCAAGTTTATATTCAAAATGTATAATGGTGTGTGAACATAACATTCGTTTCCTTTTCCTGTTCTGGTATTTCAAGATATAGTTGGTTGAAATCAATAGAAATTAACAATTAAGGGGAGGTACCTTCGTAATTTGCTATCATTCTAACCAAAGGTTATCTAGAGATTTCTCGAATTACTAAACACGCACGAATGAAATGAAAGACCTACCCTTTCTAACTCAGGATGAGGGTAACTTAAAAATAAGATTGTTAGGTCGGCGGGTTTTTCTCAGCCATGTTTAATTTTCTTCTGAATTACTCGATTCTTTCAAAGACTGGCACTTAATACAACCTTAGTGGTAAAAATGATAAATAGAAGCTTTTATCATATTCTTTCCCAAGATTCAAGCAGGGGAAGGATCTTTTTTCTAACAAGTTCTATGCCAAAGACTATCATCTGAGCTGCGTCGGATAGAAATCGACCTTATGCAAATGAATATCAATATATCTGCTAACTTATTTCGGGTTGAAAAAATCTTTATGCAATGTCTGTAACTGTTCAAAAATTGAGTTGATATAAGAACGCTACAAAGCAGACAAAAAATCATCTTTTAATTTGTATTTGAATGTTCCAAATTTAAACAAAGTCTTCAACATGTACATGTATACGTGCACTTGTACAAGGTCGATTTTCTATCCGACGCAGCGCAGCTCATCTTATGATACAGCATACCGAGGAATTAAAATAGTCTGGTCCAATGTTTTTAAAATTGATGTAACCTGATATAAACTTTAAAATTTCTTAATCTAATATATTATAATGTTGAACCATATATGGTCCAGATAATCATACATCTGCTGATGTTATTTTTTTATTATGATTTTTATAAGATCCATCATTGTTGCAGGAAGGCTTTATGATTGTTTCAACCCTCTAGTGTGAACGTTCCTGTTTGTTTTTGTAAAACCACTTTTTTTTAAATAAAACTTATTTGTACGACTGAGAACTGACCAACCTTTATGTCTCGATGTCTCTAACATTCAAACCCAGACTGTTTGTAAATACTAACTACAAAAACTAAGCCAATGTACAAAATGTATCAGTAAAAGACTGGAAAATGAAAAAAAAATATTTGTTTTTTTTAAATTTGCTGTACATGTTATCTCTGAATCATACGAACGTTTCTGTCAAAATTTCATAAAATTCTATGAGAGTAATAAATGTTAAATATATAAACCTTGACTCCATGTTGATTACAATAAATACTTAATACTATCTTTTGATCACAAAGATGCTTCTTTCACACATATTCCATAAAGGTTTGACAAAGTTACAAATATCTAATAACTAATAAATTTTAAACTTAGAACCCCCTCCCCTTAATCGAGCTTCATATATAGTTAATGCATAGTCTTACTCTTAACACTTCGGGACCCCTTCCCAATTTTCTAATCCTAGATCCGCATCTGAACATATCAGGTACCAGGTAAAACATAGAAAAAGACAACAAAATCACTCTATGTTATCTATGCAACAGATATGTAAAAAGAGGTTGGTTAAAACTGTTTTAAAATTATTTTAAAAAGATAATTGATATTTATAAACGGTAATATTTTTATAAATCAGGCCATAAAATTGTATGTTAAGCTTGCCTGGCTTCAACCTTTCTGGGGTACAATTAATGAGATAATTAGAGAATTGTTATTAACTTTTAATCAAAAGAATGTCAAAATTATATTTTGATAGCTTTAAAGCATTCAGTTAACGGCAAATTATCGAACCTCCTGTCACGGAAAAATGTCGCGGGTATTGAATATCTCGGGTGAGCTGGCAAATTTGCGGGTCATATTAGAAAATACAGATCAGTTAACAGGTATGCAAATTCAGTACAATTGTCTCACTATTATATGAACATGGGGCTACATTGGCTAGAGGTATAGGGGGGGGGGGTTGAGATCTCATAAACATGTTTAACCCCGCCGCATTTTTGCGCCTGTCCCAAGTCAGGAGCCTCTAGCCTATGTTAGTCTTGTATTATTTTTAATTTTAGTTTCTTGTGTACAATTTGGAGTTTAGTATGGCGTTCATTATCACTGAACTAGTATATATATTTGTTTAGGGGCCAGCTGAAGGGCGCCTCCGGGTGCGGGAATTTCTCGCTGCATTGAAGACCTGTTGGTGACCTTCTGCTGTTGTCTGTTCTATGGTCGGGTTGTTGTCTCTTTGACACATTCCCCATTTCCATTCTCAATTTTATGATGAAGGTTTGATAAAGTTACTGATGTACACAAAACTTATGTATTTTGACTGTAGGATCGCTGTATCAAACTTTTGTGACTTTAATTGTAGGAAAACAGGAAACACTACAATATTGCAGGAAATGAAATCTTGTCACACATGTCACACAGAATAACCTACTAATGCTTGACTCAATATATCAAGAATCTATGACTTTTTGTTGATCAGAAAAGTAGAAAACAAATGTATTAATGTAATATTGACAGACAGACACATGGACACAGGAAAATAGTATATCCCTCTTTTGGAGCAATGTGTATAATAAACAATTTGACACTTCCTAGGAATAGCTTGTATTCTCTAAGTTATTTAATTACCAAACTGTCTTCAAATATAGATTTTGTGCTGGCTTTGTGCTGTTTTCTGCATTTTGTCGGGTTTTTGTCTCTTTGACACATACCTCGTTTCCATTCCCAATTGTATGTGATTGTTTCTATAAATAGCAAAGGGTATTTCCAATTATTGGCTCCTGTAGAAAGTGTTACTATGAATAGCAAAGGGTATTTCCAATTAATGGCTACTGTAGAAAGTGTTACTATGAATAGTAAAGGGTATTTCCATTATTGGCTCCTGTAGAATGTGTGTTTATAAATAGCAAAGGGTATTTCTAATTAATGGCTCTAGTTCCACACCCGGAAAGCCGCCTCCTAAAACATATAAAACACACACACAAACACACAATTAATGGTTCCTGTAGAATGAATGTTAGCTTATAAAAATTAGCGAGTTCAATTTGAAAGGTATGTGACATCATAAAAGTATTTAATAGTTTTTAATATTATTACTAATCCAATAACTGAAATTAACACCGAACAAACAAAAATAATCCATCTGCAACTATTTTACTTTCACTTTAAATTATGGGTTGATACATCATGGAGTCAAATTATTTCTTTGACATGTGTTTAACATGCTTTATACTGGAACTAACATGCTTTATACTGGAAGTAGCACATACTTTCGATATAGTAAGCAATATTTTTAGCACACGTGATAAGTGCTTGTTTGATTTTCCCTAGCTTATCTTATGCATGGGCATCTCCATCATATCTAATATAATGCACGAAACTGTCAGATCTATAGAATTGTTATTTAGTTAATGTGATTTAGGCTTCTGTTTCATATCCCATTTTTAGTTCATCGGACCGAAAGGCCAAGTTAACTTTCCTCATCACTTCGCGTCCGTTTGAAACTGCTGGGCCAAATTTAACCAAACTTTGCAATAATCATCTGTAGTATAATTCAATATAATGGAATTTTATGCGACTGTCATACAAGGGAGTGGTTTAGCTAGCTATAAAGCCAGAGTTAATCCACCATTTCTACATAAGGAAATGCCTGTATTAAGTCTGGAATATGACAGTTGTTTTCCATTCCATCTTACCTGGCCATCATTGCTAAAAATAGAACATAGGGGTAGCATGCAAGTTTTGTCTTTTATCTGGAAAACTGCTGTGTAAAGAGAAAATCTGACAACAGCCTAAATGTTTAGAATGATGAGATATACCTATTACCCTTTTAAGTCAACATTGTCAGACGACTTCATAAAGGATTATTGCCTTTGAATGACGAATTTTACCATTTTTTTTCCATTTTGTCTATTATCTTGAATATTATAATAGATAGAGAGAAACTTTAAATAGCAAAAAATGATCAGCAAGATAAGGTCTACAAATATTTGTTTTGAATAATAGAACCCTTCAGACAACACCTTATTGTAGTTATTGTCCTTCAATGATGATTTATCAATTTTTTGCATATTTCCCTTATATCTGAAAAACATTGATAGGTAGATAGAAACTTGAGATAGCAAAAATGATCGGCAAGACAAGATGTACTAATAAGTTTCCATTTTCAAAATCGTCTGACGACCTATTATTTGAGGAATTGCCCTTTAGTGACAAGTTTTACCAATTGTTGCGTGTTTGTCTCAAATCGGAAAACTATATTAGATATATAGAAACTTAAAAAGGCGAAAAATGATCAGCAAGCAAAGATCTACAAAATAAATCAGCTGGTCGAAATTGTGAGTTCAGTCCTTATTGAAGTTATTGCTCCTTAATGATTATTTGTACCCATTTTTAGTGTTCTGCCTCTTATCATGAAAACTGTTATAGATAGATGACCACTTTAAATAGCAAAAATTATCAACAAGACTAGATCTAAAAAAATAAATCATATAGCAAAGATTGTCAGTCAACTCCTTATTGAAGTTTTTGCTCTTTAATGACGATTTTTTACCAATATTTTACGTTTTTGCCTATTATTTTGAAAACTATAAAAAGATACATAGACACTTTAATAGTAAAAATAATCAGTAAGACAAGATCTACATATAAGTTAAATTTGCTGAAATTGTTAGTAGCTTCTAAATAGGAGTGTCCTTAAATAACAATTGTTTACCCTTTTTTTTGTGTTTATCTTAACGAAAGAAGATAGAGTAAAACTGTAAATAGAAAACAATGATCACCAATACAAGATCAACAAAGTCTACAAACATGAAGAGTGTCCATTGTTGAAGATCCGCATAGACCTAGGTGAGAGAAACAGAGTCTTTAGAGACTCTAGTTACAGTTAACTAATATTTATCATTTAGAAATAATTGAAATGTAAATAAACAACAATGTCATATGATTGTTTCTATACATAGGGTTTACCAAACGAATGTATGCATAGATCTAAGATTAAGTTTTAAAACATTAGCTGGTTCAAATTAAAAGGTATATGACATTATAATATTATTCAAGTACTGAATCAAAACTGAAAATGACACTGAGCAAACAACACATAGTTCATCTGCAACTATTTTACTTTGACTTTTAATTCAGTTTTGCTATATACCTTTGATTCAGGCTGTTTCTTTAATATTGGAACTAACAAAGATTTATGAAATGTAAAGCAACATTGAAACAAACAATAACAGAGAAACAGACTTCCATTACAAATTACACAAGAACATACTCCCAAACAAATAGTAAGATAAATTTCATTTATCCTTCCCCAAAAAGACATATGAGATGAGATGATTTAGATGATTTGTAACGCTTATTATTTTATTATCTTTTTTTCACAGTATGGATGTAGAGGATCGTCGACGATACTTTATTATAGCATCAGTAATTCTTGAGATTGTTCAACCACTGTTAAGATCCAGATTAGAAAATGACTACAAAGGTAAAGGCCAGGGGTCATTACAAGCTTTTCTAAGCACTCAACCAATAATACACATACTGTTTCACTTACGGCACAGAAATGCATACTGCTGCAAGGACAAAATCAACTGTCGCAATAACTCAAAACTCCCATTGATTTACTGTCAGTGGGATCTGCTGTACACTGAGAATTCAGGCCAATCTGGCCACAACTGTCATTGCAAGTTTATAGCAAACCAAGTCCAGTTATATGAGCTAGATATAACTTTAGCAAGTTTAATTTTATTGAAGTGCTGCCATCTTGGACCAGCTGAAGAAAATGCTGTACGCAAATTACGTCGCTTCAAGGATGAGTATCTCAGTCACAATATTGAAGGTAAAATAACTGAGACAGAATATAAAAGCCTGTGGACAGACCTGACTTATTTTGTCCTACAGCTAGATCCAAATAAACAAGATGACCTCATTAGGATAGAGAACAGACCAATTGATGAAGGACTGTGTAGCAGATACAGCACAGATCTTTTGAATATTCACAAAAAACTCAATGAGGTTAGCAATTGTTCTCTCTATTTGAAAAATCAATAATCAAACATGTATAACACATGCATAAAATCAAACCTAAGACATAGTTTAATTTGCAATTAATACTTTTTTTAATGTTTTTAATTTTAAAAATAATAAAGGGGAGTTGGGGAGGTGGCTGGTGGCTATACTTTTGACTTGTTCTTTATTTTACCCGATCTCATCAAGATTTCCCTCCGTCGTATATGTTCCAATTGTCCCAACTACAATCCCGTCCTATTTCCCTCGAATATGACCTAACAAATTAGACTAATCACAAGGCTTGTACTTACATGAGCAACATGACCGGTGTCTTATGTTGAACATGATCTGCTTACACTTCCGGAGCATCTGAGAGCAACCTTTGTTTTCGGGGGTTCGTGTTGCTCAGTCTGTAGTTTTCTATGTTGTGTTTTGTAAACTGTTGTTTGTCTTTTGGTCGTTTTTCGTTTTTTTGCCATAAATTTGAATGTCTCTTTGGTAACTTTTTCCTCTCTTTCCTCATACAAAAACATGGAATTTGCACTTTCTTAGTATGATTATTACATCCCCAATCCGCAACTCCTCCTAAACCTTTACATCTCTATGACCTGATTTTATCACAGGCAAAGAAGCAGACTGTTATATATATGTTCACATTAAACTATTATTCTTTTTTTGGTATGAGCTTAAGGGTTTCCATATCAAAATATTACGTAACCTTCTGTTAGTAGTGTCAAGTGGTAATGGGGAGAGGAGTATCAATTTGAGAACATCTGCTTTTGTGTTAGATCCTTAAAATAATAACAAATTATTCTTACAGTTACAAGTTGAAGACTTGGTGTAAGTTGTGATATCTCTGTTTCAGCAAGAGGTTCTAAATAATATATTCGTCAAATACATGTAATATTCTGTATTACTTTCGTCAATTTATCTCTGGTTCAATGTATATAACTAAAATATCATGATTTCAAAATGGATAATTTTTATTTTGAAGAACGAAAATAATATTGTTCATTTTATCTCCATTTTTAATTTACCAATAATTCTTTTGGCCACTCAGTATACTATTTTCAAAAGCGTACAACATCGTAAATAATGAATATCCAACGAATGGCAAAAAATGTGTTCATTTTGATGTTCCAAATGGTGGCCGTGTGGTCTAAGTAGTCGAACTACTGTATCACTAGCCTGTTAACACTGAGGTTGTGAGTTCGAATCCCGAACGTGCCAAGTGCGCTAGACTCCAATCTTAATTAACCAGGATTGACAGTTTTCCTACCAAGGCACTCCTCTCCGGGAACTTCGGCTTCCTCCACACAAAAAAAAAAAACTGTCACGAAATAGCACAATAGTGCTGAAAGAGGCGTTAAACACCACTCAACCAAGCATACAACAATGAAATTACCCATGATCATTCAGTTTCCAGTGAAAATGTAAATTGGTGACTGAGTTTGTCAGTTTCCTAGTTGGTCAATTATTAGCCGAAGGTTACATGCTTCCTTTTTATGACATAGAAAGCTTTCTCCACCCGTTATCGATTTACACCCACAAAAAGTAGCACTAACCCTCTCAGGGGAAGATCAAGAGTATTCTAGCCACTGAATAAGGCACCCATAGTAATAAAAGTTCAAACTATTTTATTTTGTCTGCTTCATATTGTTTGAATTGAGTGTTTTACGGTTTTAAAACATACATTTTACAGATGGACACTCAAATTCAGGAAATTGGTTCTGCTGTGCAGGTAGGTCTATTGTTTTTAAAATATCTATTTCAATACCGTTTTCGTCTTTTTCATGAACAATTTTGAGAACAATTTGATATTGTGAATTTTCACCTATTCTGAAATATTTGAGGATTTTCTAATTAATAGCTGTCCTATTTTTTGTTTGATATACAAAGCTGTTGGTTTTTAATTTGAATTGTATCACATATTGTTATATTGGCGGTGTTAAAAGCTTACTATATGATATGGGTTTTTCTCAGGGTTAAAGGACGTACTGTCACCAAAGTTGTTTTCATCCATATCTTTTGGTCTCTGGTAGATAGTTGTATCATTGGCAAACATACCACATCTCCTTTTTATATTGTATGATCGTTTATATGTAAGTACAATTGAGATATGCTTACAAGACTTTTTAACTTAAAACCAGCAAAGAAACTATTTGTTTCTCTCTGAAAGAATATACCTTTTCCATAATATTATCAAACAATTGAATAAAACTTTTCCTAATTCTTGTAATTGACTGTATTACAGGAACTATTGAGTTATCACAGAAACATAAGAAATGAAGCCATATGTCAGTACTGCAAGAAAAACTTTATCGAACAAGGTCAGCCTGTTTACTATAAATTGTCATGACAAACATACTTCAAAATTTGAATTTGCACATAGATTCTTTAATGTAGGAACTGTGCTGGATTCTTACGTAACCGGCGTTATATCTGCAGTGCAATTTCGGCAAATACTTTATTCCTGATACTAATTACAAATAACTTTTCCTCCAAACCAATCCATTCAAATTATATCTAGTGAAAACCAATATTCTACAGAGTAATCGTCTACTATCTTTACGACAAAACAGCGCATGAAGTCCTATTTTTTTGGTGAATATTTATTACGTCTGTATTGTTAACGTTATGAATTTGTGGTAATATTCTAACAAACACATCGCACTAATAGGACCATTTCGCTATTTTTGATGAAGAAACATAAGATTTTAAGTATTTTCTACCCAAATACATTTAAGATCGGTATAAAAATCAGAATAATGGTGTTAGGCAGCAAAAAAATGCATTTCTCATGTTTATTTCAGATTTCATGAAAGAACAAGGCCTTTGTGGAAAATTTCTTCGTTATTCCAGTCCAATTTAATTCATTCCGGAAATAAACATAATTTAAGTTAGAACTACATTTAAAATAGATTTTTCTTATACAAAAAGAGCTTTCCATTTACGATTGATCTACCACTAAATCAATGATATAACGTCGTCCATTTGAATCACGATTGCGTCATCTATTTTTATCTAAAAGGAAACGAAAAAGAAAGTTAGATTGATCATATCAATTTCGGAGTCAATTTCGAGTTTTTTTGAAAGCATGATGCTAACATGGATAATAATTAAGTATTATTTCATGAAAAATGACCAACCTTTGCTTAATATGACATGCTGTTAATGCATTTATATACGACCGCAAAATTTCGCGTTCGCATAATGCATGGCGATGTCTGTGTCGTCGTCCGAAGACATTTGTCGTCCATAGACATTTTGGTTCGCAGACAATTACTTGAATATAAGTTTATAGATCTCTATGAAACTTTAGCACAAGCTTCCATACCACACAAGGAAGGTTTGGATTGAATTTAGGTTATAGTCGTAGCTGTTAAGTAAAAAAGGGTCAAAAACAAGCATTTTTATTGTTTCAGGACAATAACTTGTGTACTAGTGTGTGCATCTCAATGAAATCTTACCACAAGGTTCCATACCTCAAAAGAAAGATTGATTTTGAGGGTCATGGCCCAAATTATTTAAAAATTAGGGGCCGAAAAGGGGCCAAAAACTAGGATTTTCTGGTTACTTGACAATAACTTGAGTATAAGTCTATGGATTGCTATTTAAATGTGCCACCAAGTTTTGTTCCATTAAAGGAAGGTTGGGATTGATTTTAAGGGTTATTATCCCATCGGTTTTTGAAAAATGGGGTAAAAGCAATATTTTTGCAATACTTTGTATAAATTGCTTAATTTTGTACCAATTTCAATGGGGTTGAATTCAAAGTCTTGAATTCTTGGGGATCTTTTATATGTTGAATCGAACCGGGAATTTAGAATTTGGATTTTGGCCCTGTTTTAGAATTTATTGACATTATGGTTGTATTCTTCTGACGTTTCAGTCTCGTTGAAATCTCGTTCTGGAATTATTTCTAAAACATGAAATACATGTGGAACATATCAATGAATTCAAAAAATATCATAATCAAACTTAACTCTGCGAAAAAAATTGTGTATTTACAATAAGTAGTTTTCGAGTAATAAAATTTTAAAATTTTATTACCAATCAAGTCCGTCTCATTAGCCAAAATGTTGAGAAAATGGGTATGGGGTACTAGAAATGATTTTACCAGAAACATCCCATATCATTTTTTTTTCTTTTTCAAATTTCTTAGATAGGTATTTTTTCAATCATTTATAACAAAGAAGTTGAAATAATATGCTTTTTGTTCCATGGTAATTTGACACGAAAAAGCAACAAAATTTTATAAAACTTTCTTATATTAACACCTACCTATAGTTTTTTAAGTTAAATTTATTCAAATTGGTCCAGTTCATCTTTATTGAAAGTATGAAAAAAGTTAATTGTGAAACTGTTATTTTTTTCAAGATAATAGCCCAAAAATGGGTAAAATTTGATGAAAAATGGGAAAATCAGCAGAATTGGGTACTTTCAAATGGCCGAAGCAAAATAAGAAGTGCACCACCATATGATTCTTTTCACCAATTATTTTTTTACAGTCATATAAACCCAAAAATCAGGTTAAGAAAAAATGTTTAATTCTAGAAATTTTTGGCTTCTCAGAGGTGTACATCCTTAAGGTCCAAAGTTTCCTAAATTAAGTTTTGATTGATTTTTTTATAAAAAATGGATTCTTGAGGTTCATTGATATACTGAATCTAAGTGTGTATTTAGATTTTTGATTTTGGGCACAGTATTCAAATTGGTCCAAATCGGGGTCAAAAAATGAATTATTCGTGTTCTTTGATGTGCCCAATCCAACACTTGTTTAGATTTTTGATTTTGGGCTTGGTTTTCAAAGTTGGTCAACATTGGGTTCGAAAATTTGTTTGATTTCATCAAAAATTGAAATAATGGTGTTCTTTGGTGTGCCCAATCTAACAGTGTTTTAGATTTTTTTAATTTTGGGTCCGCTTTTCAAACTGGTCCAGATTGAGGACCAAAGTGTCCAAAATTAAACTTAGTTTGATTTTAATAAAAATGGAATTTTTGGGGTTCTTTGATTTGCTGAATCTAAGCATATAAATAGATTTTTGATTTTGTGCACAGTTTTCAAGTTGGTCCAAATTGGGGTCCAAAATTAAACTTCGTTTGATTTCAACAAGAATTGAATTTATGGGGATCTTTAATTTGATATGCTGAATCTAAATATGGATTGATATTTTGGATTTTGGGTCCCGTTATCAACTTGGTTCACATTGAGGTCCAAAGGGTCCAAAATTAAACTTTGTTGGATTTCTTCAAAGATTGAATTCTGGGGTTCTTTGATATGCTGATTCCAACCATGTATTTATAATTTGGATATTGGACCATAATTGGTAAATGTCCAATTTCAAATCGTTAAAGTACTCAGACCATATTCATTCTGTGTCAGAAACTATTCTATATTAAATATTTAATCAGAATCAAAATTCAAAGCTGTATTGCACAATTAATAGAATTTGTAAGTAGAGTCATAGTTAAGAATATTTATAGCATCAAACCTAATTTTAGAGACGAAATTATGTGAAAATTTAGATTGAAATTAACTGTTCATTATCAGATATTTTGAAAAAATAATTAAGGTAAGTTTATAGATTTTTTACAGACTGAATTAATGAGGAAATATTATTTGGAATTCTTTTTTTTTTTTTTAATCCTTTTACAATACTTTTCTTATACTTTGTAAACATTTGTAAAAAAAAGATTTTTGGCCCCGTATTTAAATTAGTCCAAGGGTCCAAAAATAAACTTTGTTTGATTTCATCAAATATTAAACTATTGGTGTTCTTTGATATGCCGAATCTTAACATGTATTTAGATTTAAAAATTTTAGGCCCTCTTTCAAATTGGTCCATATTAAGGCCCAAAGGGTCCAAAATTAAAAATTTCTTTGATTTAAAAAAAAAAGAATTCTTGGTGTTTTTTTTGGATATGCTGAATCTAACCATGCTAACTGTGTATTTAGATTTTTGATTTGGGGCCAGTTTCCAAATCGGTCCACAAAGTCCAAAATTGAACTTATTTTGATTTTATCAAAAAATGAATTCAAGGGGTTCTTTGAAATACTGAATCTAAACATGTATTTAGATTTTTGGTTTTGATCCAAGTTTTCAAGTTGGTCTAAATCGGGGTCCAGAATTACTATTTTGTTTGATTTAAACAAAAATTGAATATATAGTGTTCTTTGATATGCTGAATCTAAGCGTGTATTTAGATTTGGGATATTAGACCATAAAAGGTAAAAGCCCAATTTCAAAATTTTCAGCTCTTTTACCACATCCATTCTGTCAGAAACCTATGATGTGTCAAATATTTAATCAAAATCCAAATCCAGAGCTGTATCAAGCTTGAATGTAGTGATCATACTTGCCCCCAACTGTTCAGGGTTCGATCTCTGCGGTCGTATCAAGCTGCGCCCAGTGGAGCATTTTATTATCTAGTACTTTTTTTACCCCACTAGGCAGTGAGGAAAAACTGTTTGAAAAAAAGAAATATAGGAATTATTACTGTATTTTATATGAATAACTAAGAGAGTGCGTCTATGTGATACAATATTTTTAGCTAACTTGGCCCAAAGCTTATGTCATCACTTGGCGAACTTCGTCGTCTGTCATCGTCGTCTGTCGTCGTCGTCGTAAACTATTTCAAGAATCTTCTCCTCTAAAACTACTGGGCCAAATACCTTCAAACTTTAATTGAATGTTCCTTAAGGTATCTTATTTATGAATTATATCCGAAGTTTTGATCCATCAACAAACATGGCCGCCATGGCTAAAGATAGAACATAGGGTTCAAATCAGTTTTTGGCTTTAATCTCAAAAACTATTGCAGTTAGAGCAAAAGTGACACGGAGTTAAAGTGATGAATGAGTCAAAATCTATCTGCTATGAAATTTTCAAACCAATTAGACCATCCATTGTAGGGTTACTGTCCGAAATATTTTATTTTTATGAAATTTTACTGTTTTTGTGTTATTATCTTTAATATTATAATAGATAGAGAGAAAGTGTAAAAGGCAAAAATGTTCAGCTAAGTAGGATCTACACATAAGTTAAATGATCAAAATAGTCAATTGACTCCTTATGGATTTATTGCGCTTGAAACGTTTATTTTTTACATTTGTTCGTGCGTCTAATACTTTTTCCAAATTCTTCTCTGAAACAACTTGGCCAAATACTTCCAAATTTAACTAAATGTTTTTTAGGGTATCTAGTTCGTGAATTGTATCCGAAGTTTTGATTATTAACAAACGTGGCCGCCATGGCTAAAGATAAAACATAGGAGACAAAAACCGTTTTTGGCTTATATCTCAAAACTACAGCAGTTAGAGCGAAGT